GTTTTTGTTAGTTACATTTTCTTGTTTATTCTGTTTCCAGCTGCAGCTCTGTTAGGTTGAAGGTTAAAAGGTCTGAACAAACTTAAATATTGAGAGATTTTTTTTTATATTAGAAATAAAAATAGGTTTTTGTTCCCAGAGCAAAATAACATTTAAAACCCTGATCAAGACAGGACTATTTCACATCTTAAAAAAAATTATAATAAAAAATGACACTAAAACTTATGGAATTAAGCAAATTACCCCATGCATTTACAGTKAAATGAAGCTTTACTAAATACGCTTTAGTCACTGTAATTGTAGAAAACCTGTGGAAATATTGAGCCATAGATGAATTCTTTAGGTTCCCTGTAGTCCTGTACAAACACACYGTGAACATTAATATTTCAACCTCTTCAAACAAACGTATTTACAGCAGCCATATGCTTGAAACCTCAGGAACGCCTTATTTTAGAACTTAAATAGACAGTTTTTGCAATATCCAGACAAAGTCAAAAAGAAATAATTTATTTGTGGTTTAACCAGTGTTTTATCGCCCGAGCTGCCTGTGAGGAAATAGTTGATCACAGAACTGAGTGAACAGCTTGTGTCCTGCTGTAGCAACCAATAAATACAGCAATGAGGTGTGAAATGGCAAATAAGAATAGGATTATTGTCATCTGCTGTTCATAAATTTAGTCCAAGGATTAAAGTCTGGCTCAAACCTCACTGACAGTATTTTAATACACTTAATCCTCACTGTCTTCCTTGCTTAGTTTGACTGCTGTGACAATGACATCATGGTGTATTCATGGATGGGGATTTTACCCGTCTTTAGGCGACACTAAAATGAGCTGATGAGACCCTGACCAACAGTTCTCCTCTTTTATACAAACTGTTGACAGTTTGGTGACGTTTGACAGGTTGATAATCCAAGGCAGTGCAGAGTGAGTGGCAAACACCAGAGCTGTGGGAAAAATCACCCTCAATCTTAAATATACTGTGCTGTTTCTCCCATCACTTGTTCTGAAAACCCAGAGTGTGTCATATATTTGTAGTATGTTGAGCAGATTTCAACTACAAGGACTGTCACTGAGCACAGGACTCAGTCCGAACAGGTAAAGTACCTCATGGGTACAACAGATCCAACAGGGCAGGATGTATCTCTCTGCACGTCTGATTGGATGATAGGCTGTCCTATAAGAAAGCACATTGTGTTGTTTAGCTTTGCCAAGTGTCTGTTGTTTGTCCAGCGCTTGCTGCACATGTGTGAAACTCTGGTCCTCGAGCCCTGCTGTCTTGTGTGTTTTAAAAGTTTTCCTGCTCCAACACACATGGTTTGCAGAAATGGATTGAATTGTTGAATCAGGTGAATTGGAGCAGAGAAACAAGGAGAACATGCAGGATAGTGGGTCTCCAGGACCTGAGTTTAATACCCATGTCTTATGGGATACTTTAGGTTTTTCAGAATGTGACACAGTGGAAAGATGATGAACAAAAAAACTTGACCTTTTCAGTAACCTGAATGTGAAATCTCATTCCTTTTGTCGCTACCCAACATTAGTCTGCAAGGCATAAAGCCACTATCTGGTTAATATGAGACATAAAAACTGGTTAATATGAGGCTAAAATCCACTAAGGTTAACTTTAGAGCAAATGACATTGTTAGCGCTAAAGACCCCGCCCTCCAGTGGCTGAATATTGTGGACTTCCTATAGGGCAATGGGTAGAGTGTTGGACCAGAGAGCAGGAGACCAGGGTTAGAGACTGAGACAGACACAAAATATTTAATACAATATCTTTTTGTTATTTACACATTCATTGTCATTGATACATTAACCCACTAGGGGGCACTATCGGGACAGTCTAAAGCCTAGAAGGCACAGTAGGGACCCTCTGAAGCCATTGTATGGGACTGATAACGCCTAATAACGTCCATTTCATGGACTGATAACATCAGAATCCCCTGTTGTGACCATATGTGAGGGTAGCAACGTAGGTTGACCAGTAAACAGATAACTTTACCTTGTAACTCAGCTCCCTCTTTACCACAACAGACCGGTACAGAGCATGTGATATCTGTTTGTCAGTCTCGTTCTCTATTCTTCACTGTTACAAATGAAACAATGCTTGAACTTCTCTAACTGAGGTAGCACCTCACTTCCAACCCGGAAAAAGCAATCCACCCCTTTCTGACTGAAGACATTGGACTCAGATTTGGAACTTCCCACATGACTGTGAACCACTCCAGTGAGAGCTGAAGACCACAGCACGATAACAGGACCACATCATCTGCAAACAGCAGAGTGCTGGTCACTGAACTGGACCCCTGGTTACACCAAAAAAAAAAAAGATGTTCATAAAACCTATGAACAGAATTGGTGAAAACTCTTGCAAAGGAGATCTGTGATCTCAATGGGTTTTGCCTGGTTAAATAAAGGTTAATAATAATAAAATAATGAATGTCCCAGAGTAACAGACTCTTAATCCAATATTTGTGTAGCACCCCCCACAGCACATACATACTCCCAGGTCTGCTTTAGGAATCTGGCAACGGTAAAGAGCTCAAGTGGACAGAGTTCACATTGTCCTTCTTAATCCAAGGTTCAACCATCAACTGGACTCTTCTCCAGCATCCCTGAACAGACTGGGGAGGCTGAGGATTCCCTATAATTGGAACACACCTATTGGTTTTGAAAAGTTAAACCACCATCCATCCTAGTCTGCCAATCCATTGGAACTGCCCCCAATGTCCACACAAAGTTACAAAGACGTGTCATCTATACTTTCCACTGCTCAACGACATCACTGGTTGAGGTCACTAATGTTGGTGAAATGCTGCGCAGTCTCTCAAGAGTCTCCATCCTCACAGCACTCCCCCCACTCCTGAGCTTTTGTCTCAGCAAAAATGTTTGAATGTTGATAACCTTCAGCTCAGCTGCCTCTGGAGTCCTACCAGCTAACTAGGCCTGAGAGGACTTCTCCTTCAGTTTGACGGCTTCTTTTCCCACACGTCCTGTGTGATGGTCAGCCTGACTAGTTTGCACCTGGTGTGTCCACCACCAGGTTCAAAGATGGCTGTCACAAAGAGCACCAGCAAGCTTCAAGCTAAAGCAAGGCAGCCACTTGAAATGAGGTGTTTCCTGGTGCCCTGTGCACTTAAAACCCCTTTATGTTCAACATGATGTTTTTTATAGACAAACTGTGATTGGCACAGAGGTCCAACAACAGAACACTGCTCAGGTACAGATCAGAGATGCTGTTCCTCCCAATCACACCCATTCAGGTTACACTGTTGATACTAAGGCTGCAACAATACATGTACCTGTATAGAACCGTATCGAACTGTGCTTTAGGTTCAGTACACACTTGTATGGAACAATACAGATTTATAAATTTACTTTATCAACTTGTCTTCTGAAGATGCTCTGTATTGAAGGATCAGTGGATCTGTGTTCGACTACTCCACCTAGGCTGCATTTTTGAGCTCAGATCCACTGAGAAACTTGCTGTTTCAGCAACATTTAATTTAAAAACTGTACTTTTGAGGTTAAACAAATGTTCATAATTAATTTAAATAAATTACAAGTTAAAAGGAGCATGGACATTTCTCTTTTTTGTATCGAAAAAATATCGAACCGTGAGACTAAAGTATCGAACCGAACCATGAATTTTCTGTATCGTTGCAGCCCTAGTAGATACCAATGTGGGCATTAAAGTTTCCCAGCAGAATAATGGAATCTCCAGCTGAAGCACCTTCTAGCACCAAAAAGGTCTGGGTTTCCTGAACTGCTGTTGAGTACGCAYGCCCGAATGACAGTTAGAGCCAATCCCCTCACCCCACGATGCAGGAAAGCTACACTCATCTACGTTAAAGCACAGGCAACAAGCTGGGGAGATAATAATAAGCCTACGCTAGCCTGATGTCTCTCATCATGGGCAACTCCACAGTGCAATAAGGTCCAGCTTCTTTTTTTAAGCATGTACTGTGAAAATCAACAATTGTGCAAACGTTAGTCTAATAACATCTGTGTGAATCACTACAAAATATTTGAGATTGAAGATTTAAGTTGGTAGCAATTGATGTTGGGCCCACTTGGACTAGTCCTTAACCTATCAGTCTGGTCAGAATRACATTTATTTATCCAAACTGAAGTTGTTCAGAGTTGTAGCAGTRATCTACAACAGATAAGATACTAATTGTTTACAACCTTTCCACTGAATTCCAAATCAAAAGATCTCGAGTATCCCTTAAATTGTAGAAATATTTATAAATATGAATTTAAAGTTGCTATAAAATGTAACTGTCAACAACAAAAAAATGTGAATCATTTTAACTCCAAGGCTTTTTATGTGTTGCAGCTTTAATAATGAAAGTGCTGTAATGTAACCTCAGTGTATAAAAGCTCAACACTGCATGCAGCAAAAATAACTCATTATAGGTGTCAGTGTATTAAAATTTTTTATTTGCATGTCTTGTCTGTTGGTTACTAACCATTCAGCTTCTCATTGATTGATATTGTTATATGATAATTATTATAACCTGAATCAATCATTGCTGAATAAATGTAGGCTTAGATCACTGCAGTGATGGTAGGTGAGTCCTTTTTTAACAGCTGTGTYAAGTCAAACAGCTTGACAGGCAAGATACTGACTTCACTTTGTCAYGATGGAATTCTTCCTCAGTCAACACTGTTAAATACTGTATGTGGTGTCGTTTGTAAAGTTACAGTCAAAAATTACCACCAATATATTTATTTTATTTAGTCTTTTATAAGAAAAAAAGAACAGATTTATTTTTCAAAGTC